CTCTCTGTCAGCAGGCTGTTGGCCACACACCGTGTCCCCTCGGAAACGGGCGACTCCCAGCCTGGAAATGAGCGGCTATCGGGATAGTTACTACAATAGCAATATGCATAACACCTAAGTACAGTATATACTGTGCGGTATCCGGAATGGTCATAAATTCTCTCTGGAGCTACAGGAACTGGAATACCAGTCTGGAACAGTACTTGTGGTTTCCTTAGACATTCAGAATCTCGCCCTGTAGGTTTTTTTCCAATGTGAATTGTTTTCTCAGTCCACTCCAACAGTTTGTGGGAATGTCTTTACCCACTATTAGTGTGAATATGTATTCGTACTGTAGTTGAGCCATTCTGTCCCGCTATGAGCGATGTCATTATGATGTTAACCAGCAGTGAACAAAGACGCCACCTTCGTAATCCAGGAATAAATACAATTAGGGTTTCACAACGGAGGAGCTCTCGAAAACAACAGAAAAGGGAGTGCGTTCAGAAAAATGATATCTCGTTTTCAACAAGTATTCCGACTAAACACTTATTACACTTGAAAATAATAAATAAGAAAACAACAGTCGCGCATTAGCAGGGGAATGAGATCATTTGGATTCATCCCCCAGCGCTTAAACCTTTATTTTGAAACAAACATTAAAAACACGGTGACTGGGCGGGATTCTGCATTTTTAAAATGCCGCTACAAGCCTTAAATACACGCAGGCCTGGGCTTCGTCCAGATTTAGTCTCTAAGTACAGCCTGGCGTGAACTGTACTTAAAAACCCAATTAAATCCTAAACTCAGCCGCCTAGTGCCAAAGAAAACAACAGTGTCCGAGATTTCCCGTTCAGATCCTCTCGCACAATAGTGTGAGTCAGTAGCAGCTACCAAACGACGGGATATTCTTTTAACACGCTGCCGCCGAGATTTTGTCATTAAACATTTAAGCGGAAGCACGGGGAGGAGGGGGGGACGACAGCTCCTAACCCAGTTGCTGCCTCCCGGTTCGACCACCTGAAATTAAACTGTGTGATTTCGCAGACGAACCCGTCTGCCTCTAAAACGCCGCCTCCTCCAGGAACATCTGGGGTTGGTCTAAAAGGACTTGATTAATGACTGGCGCCTTCCATCGGCCTCGGATCGGCGTGGGGTGCGGCCCGATCAATCACGGTTTCGGGGACCCCCGCAGGTGGAGAGAGGCGGCGCACAGTGTGGAGCCCGGTTTCACGGCCCCGTCTCCGTGTGACTTGCAGATTGCGCTTCGGATCACCGCTGGCCACAGAACGTGGCGTGTGTATCAGAGGATGACTCTCCCCCGTCCTCCCGGTCAATTTGGTATCGTCGGATTTAAAGGGCGAGTTACTAGCAAGTCGGGCTCATCCCAAGAAAGCGAGACTGTTTCTTAAGGGTCTGGATATCACAATGAAATAACAGCTCTGAGCGGCGTGCGGGCTTGTCGCGGGAGGAATACTGAGGCGCTAGGCTCGTCAAGGAGAGGGGGGAAACAGACCCCAAATACGACGGGAAAGCAGATCGCAAGCGGAGGGTGATTTGGCGTGGAATGTGGGAAAAAAGTGCTGCAACTTCAAAGGCAGGTAAGTTTGCTTCCCGGTCTCCCCGTGTCGGGGTTTTTCCTCTCCCAGGGAGAGAAAAAAAAAACGACAACAAAGCGAGCGTTCTGGGTCGGAACGGGGTCGGTTTCGAGACGAGCCGGGGAGCCGGCCGGAGAGGGGTCCCATTCGCGCAGCGCCTCGATCATGCGCGCCCGCTATGCCTGTGTCCTCTTGCAGCCGTAGGCTGCTTTTCGAAAGGGGTAGATTGCAGGCTTGCAAGATAGGATTACCCCGCCGCTTATTAAGAACAAAGGGGGCGTTAAACGGCGTTATTAGCCTTATTTAAAGCCCAGCGGGTAGCTAGCAGAGAGGGGTTAAGGCTGCCTGTCGAACCGGGTGGCGCGGATAGAGAATAATAAAACGGCGAGTGATCTGCTAGACTGTTATATCTGATCGGAGGCGCTTGACTGTTTTCGCTCTCCCCACATGTCTGGAGAACGCGGTGCTTAGACTTCTGTTCCGCGATAATAATGACGTGCCGTGAAGATGCAAGTTCAGCGCGGATCGTGCAGGGGTGGGTATCCCTGGGAAATCTGCACGGTTTAGGCGGCCGTGCCCGTTACAGACGGCTAAGCGCGGTTTCCAGCTCGGTCTCCCCCTCTCCGCCCCCCCCCCCAAACCCAACCCAACCCAACACCTCGCCGAGCGCAGCCAGACACCGGAGTGTCACGGCGACACGCGTTAACCTTACACGGCAAGTTACAGGTAAGCTGTATCTCGAACTGAGCCTGGGCTGCGATCGCGGGCGTTCAGGCGGGGAAGCGCCGCGATTCTGCCTCTTGACAAATACGGTCATAAGGTAAGAAAAACCCTTCTCCTGTGGGATTATCTGTGATATAGTAACGCTATGCTGACAGAATCGATAATAGCGATGGCGCTTTAGAAGACAGATCTTGCACACCCGTGGAAGAACTGCTCTTTAGAACCCAGAGGCAAAAAAAAATATAAAAAAACATGCAACAAACACGCGTTTGGAAAACGGAGGCAACAGCCGCCTGTAACAGGTCTGAGACTGACCCGAAGCAGCTACCAGGCGAGGGGCACATGCACGCTAACGACCTGTGAGGTCTGTGCGCGGAGTGTTTATTGAGGGGGGTGCAGGCTTTTGGTTAACGAGACTTCGCAGTTTTACACGGGTCGGACACAACGGGTGATTTTTTTTTTTTTACGGCTCTTTTGCGATTCTTGTGCCTCAGAGCGCCCTGCACAGACAAGTGCCCGTCCGCCTGCCTGTTGTTTCGCTGGGAATGGGTGTTTACTCTCGACCCGGGCATGTTGTCGGCGTGCTACAGGCTGGCGGCGGCAGCTGGGAGACTGTCGATTTTCGCGGTCCTGTTTATCGCTGTAATAATTAGTAGTAGTGATGTCGCCTGTCGATTCGTAATCCCCGAGTGCGGGTTTAGCGTAACAGGAGCAAGCTGTCTCCCAGGAATCGGAGATTCTGGAGGACCAGGAAGCTGCTATAATATAAACCCGCACTTCAAGGGGAAAGTGTTGCATCTCAAGTGCTGGATTAGTAAGGTTCTGTACCGACAGGTTGCCAGGGGCTGGACGGTCCTGAACAAAACATTCTGGCTTCTGCGTTTCGGCGTTACAAGTTACAAATTGATTTTACTGTAGCTCTGTCGTCGCTTCATCGTCAGCTACGGTATTACCAACGCCACTGTTGATAACTTTTCACTTTCCCAAAGAGTGCTGAATTGTATTTGCCCGAGCACCCAGCCCTGTCACGCCGTTGAAGTGGAATAAGGGGGTAACTTTATAGGAGTAGCCCGAATTCGCCTTCTTTGAACGAATGTTTTCTGGTTTGAGAGTCCGTGCCACTTTTTCGTCCGTGCATGTGCATGGAATCTGTTCGGATAAGCATCGCGTTAAGAGCCGCCTGTTCTGCAGGGCTCCCACACTGCACAGGCCCCCGCGAACACTCGTACTGCAAGCGAGACGGAAGATTCAAGGCCAACAAGCAGTTTATCAGAGTAACTTCATTAGACATCTTTAAAGTAGAAAATGATACACACTAAACAGGCAGAGGCGGGCGCTAAAATTCAATTAAGGATCTTGACGCGGCGGTGTGGATCTATCGCAGTCTGTGCCGTTTTAATTGTTGGTCTGACAAACCGAAGGCGCTCGGAAATGCGCCCTGCACGGGGGGGGTTGGATGTGTGGTCTTGGGCACCTCGCATGAGCGCATTTTAAATCAGACACCCCCCCCACCAGACCGGAGATAGGGGCTCCTTTAATCTCCTCGCGGCATTGTTCCCGGCCGGGGATTAGCGCACGAGTGGATGGGCGGAATCTCAAAGGAATGGAGTGGCCAGATGTTTGGGTTGTAGTAACGGGCGTGTCCAGGTATTTTCCCTTCAAAGGGCCGAACAGAGCAAGGCAGTGCACGTGGGGCGTGCTTATTTCTTTTTTCTTTTTTAAATCGCCGTCACACCTCGAAGGACTGTGCCGTATCGTTTACGCCACGGGCCGCCTGGAAAGCAGTTGTCACGTTTGGGTGTCAGTCGTAGTCTGGAATGAAAGTGGAAACCGCAAACATTTTTTAGATTAATGCTTTTTAAAAGTAATCCCCCCCCACCCCCACCCCCCAGATTCGTTTCAGGCGGTTCTGCAGCCTCCAGTTGTGTATTAAAATCCCAGTCTTTCTGGTTCTGCTCTGAATACATGCGCTCAGCTCTCTCGGAACTGGACGCGCGTTCGTGGCCCCCTGTCCGCCGGCTCTGACTCGCTGCTCGGGCCGGTGTCTCTCTCCGCCGCTGGTCCAGTCCGCTGGCAGGCGTGGCCCGGGTTGTTCAGGTGGTATCTCCGGGTCATATTCTCAGCGGGTACAAAATTAAATTGACCCCCCATAGTCCGCGAGTGCGACATCTGCTGCGGGCTTCGTACTTATTCAGTATTTAGTCTCCTCTGCGTGTTCTCATCGTGCTGATCTCGTCTGTCTTTTAGTGCTCATTTTTAATTGTTGTTGTTTCTGTTGTCATTCTGTAAAGCGCGTTGAGAAGCCACCTTTAAAGGCGCAATATAAAATAGTTTATTATTATTTTTAACTAATCTGGGCCGCCCCCCACAACCACGTAAAGCGGGTTAGCACACATAAAAAAATAACTGCGTGAGCACAGGGCTGGATGGAATATGGGGAAATGTATGCTGAGACAACTAATCATTTATGTTTGAATCAACAGCAGTTTTGTTTGTTTGTTTTTAATTGGAAGATTTAGATTGGGGGGGGATGAGAGAGCCGGCGCGTGGATTCTTGCTCTCTGCAGACGGGTGCGTGAGGGGGGGCGGCGCAGGGGGTCTTTTCGCACAGTGACTGGGGGGGGTTGACGTCGCGACCCGGGGTCTTCGCCGCCACGAGCTGCTTTCTACCGGGAGTCCTTTGATAAGCCGTAGGGAGCCGCGAAACGGCTATACCGAGCATTTCTGTGGGTGGTTGATGGACTGGCTTGGTATAATAATAATAATAATAATAATAATAATAATTGCTTACACTTATATAGCGCTTTTCTGGACACTCCACTCAAAGCGCTTTACAGGTAATGGGGATCCCCTCCACCACCACCAGTGTGCAGCCCCACCTGGGTGATGCGACGGCAGCCATAGTGCGCCAGAACGCTCACCACACACCAGCTGTCAGTGGGGAGGAGAGCAGAGTAATGTAGCCAATTCATAGAGGGGGATTATTAGGAGGCCATGATTGGTAAGGGCCAATGGGGAAATTTGGCCAGGACACCGGGGTTACACCCCTACTCTTTTCGAGAAACACCCTGGGATTTTTAATGACCACAGAGAGTCAGGACCTTGGTTTTACATCTCATCCGAAGGACGGTGCCTGTTTACAGTACAGTGTCCCTGTCACTATACTGGAGCATTAGGACCCACACAGACCGCAGGGTGAGCGCCCCCTGCTGGCCCCACTAACACCTCTTCCAGCAGCAACCTTAGTTTTTCCCAGGAGTCTCCCATCCAGGTACTGAGCAGGCTCACACCTGCTGAGCTCCAGGGGGCTGCCAGCTGTGAGGTGCAGGGTGATATGGCTGCTGGTATCCCCTGCTCTGGGATAAACCCTCGTCTCGTCGGGTTTCAGACCGTTTTTTTTCTGGAGTTTTGGATGGTTTAGTTGCGTTGTTTGTCAACTCATGCCATTCATTTGCGGTGGGGGGGCCACGCTTCTACCCCCAGCCCCTTCATTCATCCTGCCAACGGGACTTCCTTTAAGTCAGTTGGTTTCAATCAGGGGTAAACGCTTTGCTGGAAGGGGCTCCCGATTTGTGTCCTTTATGGATTATTGATCCGAGATAGGGAGGTTGTATTCATTCAAAAACAGGCCAGGCTTCAATGGTTCCAGCAAGACCGTTGTCTGAAATAATGTGGACATGCTGGATTCCACTGTGCAAGTTCCACGGGCGCAGTTCCACTTGAGATCCCCGGCCGACCACGGTCGTCCACAAATACGGCCCCGCCGGCAGGGACACAACGCCAAGCACAAAGCGGAGCAGACCCTAGCATCGCCGCGCCTGGTACAGGTTGGCGCGGTGTTTCCCCGCGAGGGGATGCTGGAGCACGAAGCTGTCGGCCTGCCCGGGCCGCGATCCCGTTGTTGGACATGCCCCTGTTCTGGGAGGATAGCTGTCATCTCGGCATTAACAAGGACCGGCTTCAGAAACTCCCCCTCCTCTCCCAGTCAATAGGGTCTTCAGAGTGGTGGCGATGAGGCTGCCAGCGAGATGCTTGAATGAGGGGAGGGGGGGCACCAACTGCGCGTCGGAGATGAGAAGCGGGAAAAATATTGCCGCTGATTCCGACTCGGAAAAAACACAACAAGACAACAGAGGCTTTTCTTCACTGCCTGCGCCGCCGAACAAAAAGCCGCTCTCTCTCTGAAAGGGCCGGCTGTACGGCGCTCTGAGGGCTGCTGAATGGGACCGTTCGGCACTCGCCTGCGAAGTTCCGCATTTAATATTCAGATTATTGGAGGG